GCCATGACAGATGGAGGAGAGATTGAGGTTGTTAACAGTTACAACGTGCTCGGCTCCACAATCAAAACTTTTGGCAGTCTAATATTTGGATGGATAACAAAAAATAGGTGAGAGGAGGGAGCAGAGGGGCTAAGGGTGGGAAGGGGTCACAGAGTTTGGTGAGTAGACAGAGGGGTGAAGGAATTAGGAACGATCCAGTGGGGATCTGAAAAGATGAGCTAATGATGGGCATAGATCAGTGGTGATTGATTTTATAAGACATAATGTATGAAAATGATCATAAGAAACACAATGTGCGGCAATGTATGAATGGAAATCCAAAACCTCTGTAAATGTTTATTAAAATTAATTTTTTTAAAAAAGAAACACAATGTAAATAGGAAAAAATTCTAGAATTTATAAAAAACAAGCAAAAGCCAAAAGGTGTCCTATTGAGGACTGAAATTTATTTGGCATCTTTAATCTTCACATGCATGAACAAAATTCTTCACTACTGGACAACAGGATGGACAAAGGATTGAGATGGTCACTGACTACATCTTACTTGGATCCACAACCAATACCCATGGTACCAGCAGTCAGGAGATCACGAGACGTATTGCACTGGGAAAATGTGTGGTCAGAGACCTCTCCAAATTACTGAGGAGTAATGATGTCAGTTTGAGGACTAAGGTGTGTCTGATTCAGGCCATGATCTTTTCAGTCACTTGCTCTGCATCTGAGAACTGGACAATGAATAAGTATGACAGAAGAATAGATGTCTTAGAGCTGTGGTGTTGGAGAAGAGTGCTATATATCTCATGGACAGCCGCAAGAACAAACAGAAATGTGTTGAAGACGGTGCAGCCAGAGTGCTCCTTGGAGGCAAAGATGATAAAACTTCGACTCACATACTGTGGACATGTTGCTAGGAGAGGTTATTCTTTGGAGAGGGACATCATGCTTGGGAAGGTGGAAGGTCAGTAAAGAACAGGAAGTCTCTCAGCTAGGTGGGGTGACACAGTGACTGTGCTAACAGACTTGAGTGTATCAGAGATTGAGGATAGCACAGGATAGGACAGGGTTCATGCAGATTGTTCACAGGGTCTCTATGAGTTGTACTTGACAGTTCCTAATAACAATAAAGACATGCATTAACAGGAAACAACACAATAGCTAGTTGTTATGTGCCATCGAGTCACCTGTGACTCATAGCGACCCTATGTCCAACAGTCCTAAATCCTGCTCTGTCCTGTGCCAATCGCACTGTCTCCAACACATCTATCCCCATCACCCCAGCCACTGAATCAATCCACCTCATCGAGGGTCTTCCTCTCCTGTGCTGTCCCTCCACCCTCTCAAGCATGATGTCCCTCTCCAAGGACTGGTCCCACCTTGCAACACGTCCAAAGTATGTCAGACTCCTTGCCTCCAAGGAGCAGCCTGGTTTAACCCTCTCCAGGCTGAACCTGTTCATTTTCTTTTTTTTTTTTTGTTTTTTTTTAACCTGTTCATTTTCTTAGCAGTCCATGGTACATTCAATACTCTTCTCCAGCACCACAGCTCAAAGGCATCAAATCTCCTTCTATCCTCCCTAGTCATTGTGCAACTCTCTGACGCATAACAAGTGATTGCAAAGACCATGGCCTGTATCAAGCGCACCTTAATCTCCTAGAGAAGAGATAAATATAGTCAATGACTTCATCTTGTTTGAACCCACAATCAGCACCCTTGGTATCCACTGTCTTGTACAGCATTGGTAAAGTGTGCCGTCAAGGGTCTCCCCAAAGTGCTCAAGAGCAAAGATGTCATCTTGAAAAGTAAGATGCACCTGAACTAAAGTCTGGTCTTTCAATAGCTTGCTAGACATCTGAGAGCTGGACAATGAATCAAGAGGACAGGAGGAGAATGAAAGCCTTTGAGGTGCAGTGTTAGACGTACTGAATAGCTCATGAACTGTCAAAAAGGCAAACAAGCCGGTCTTGGGAAAGCGCAGGCCGGCTGCTCCTTCATCTCCCACTCCTTGGCACGTTGTTAGCAGGGGCCAGTGCTTGGAGAGGACATCGAGCTTAGAAAAGCAGAGGGTCAACGGTGGAAGGGAAGACCCTCAATGGGATGGATTGACACAGGGACTTGGAGGGTCAATGATGGAGGGAAAGACCCTCTGCGGGATGGATTGACCCAGGGCTGGAAATGTCACGGGATGGCACCGAACAGGGCACGGTTCAGATCTGTGGTCCTACAGGGTTATCATAGGGTCACTGAGTCACAACGGGCCTGACGGCACTCGACAACAACAACAAAGTATGCACGTAAAAGCTGGACAATGAATACAGAGGGCCAAAGGGAGACTTGATCCCTTCGAATTGTGGGACTGGCCACAAAAACTGACTGTATCACAGACTGCCAGAAGAAGGGACAACGTGGTCCCCGCACTGCTTAAACAAGGCCAAGACTTCCCCTCCTAACATGCTGAGACTTCTTCCTAACACGTGGTGGGCAGCTGTCAGGAAGGAAGACGCCATGCTGGTACAAGGTCAGAAAGAGGAAGCCCTTCCTGGGGCAGACCCAGGGGTTCCAACAGCACAGTGGTGAGGACAGCTGGGGCTGGGTGGTTTCCACTGCTGTGCAGTCAGTCGGTCACTACAAGAAGGAAGTGACTAGAGGCACCAGCCACCATCATGGGTCAGCCAGCCTGCATCCGCGAAATCCGCCTCACCGCAGCCCAGTGCCAGTCATCGCCTTCCTGCAACCCTCAGCCCCTTCAGGGAACTCCAACACCCCCCGCCCAGTGGTACCCACCCCCCAGCCGCCTGAGCAGGGCCTTTGCACTTGCTGTGTGGTGAGTGTTCCTCATTCAGGCAGCACAGCTCCATCACCTGACCTGTCTGCAAAAGTCTCACCAGCCAAGACTGGAACCCTTATTCACTGTTGGTGGGAGTGTAAAATGGTGCAACCACTGTGGAAGGTGGTATGGCGCTTTCTCAAAAAGTTGTGAATAGAGATACCGTTTGACCCAGCAATTCCACTACTGGGAATATACCCCAAAGAG